GTCTCTTTCTGTGTATGTATGTGTATGTATGTATGTGTGTGTGTCTTTATGTGTGTGTGTGTGTGTATGTTCTGGACGGACTGACGCTGTGTGAGCTGGCTGTCGACGGTATCGGTGAGCTGCTTCTGGAGTGAAAAGAAGACGGTTGACGGTGAAAGTGAAAGGAGGTCATCATAACTGTGTGAAAACCCACCGAGCAGACACAGAAAGAGAGAGACACACACAACATAGGGAGAAGAGAGGCCCCGGGTCTTGCTTAGAGGCAGCAGCAGTTCATCACATACACACACACTCACACACACACACACACACAGAGCCATGGCGAACATCGCGGTCCAAAGGATCAAGCGGGAGTTTAAAGAAGTTCTCAAAAGCGAGGAGGTGTGGTAACGTAGCTGGCTTCTTCTAAATGTTATCTTTAAAACTTCGATTCAGCTCCTTCCTTTTTGTGGTTGTTGTTACAACTCGGTTAAGATGTAAAAGTGTCTGTTGTGACAGAAGAGAGAGAGAGAGGGGGTCCTGTGTTGCAGCAGGTCAGGCCTTCGCAGGACAACTTTGAGCTAGCGCTAGCTTCATGTCGGAGTCAGGTGTGTGTGTTCAGGAAACACCGGGGCTTTGTCGACTGACAGGCCCTCTGCTGTTTAAACACACAGCACCGCGTACATTTGGGTATTTACCTGACTAAAATAAACCTGCCTTGTGTGGGTTAATATCACACGCCTCGTACAAGGTCCCGTGGCTGTTTCCTAACGCAGATTAGTCAGTGACAGTCCGAGTTAGCAGCGTTGTAGCTTCGCTGACGACGAGGCGTTATTTGACATATCATCCACAGTTAGCATTAGCATGTGTTGTTATGCTACAGCATTCACCGACTTAACACCTCCCTTCAACCTTTAATCGGCTGCTGGTTTCACCAGGGAAGGGTTGCGGGAATTAAACGTGTGTGTTTGATCATCCCGCTACCTGTCAGGTCTTGTTATTGTGGGTTTGTAGTTAACTTTTGATAGCTCGGCTGTACTAGCAAGCTATCTGTGTTGCTAACGTACTTCCTGTAAAACTCTGTAACAACCCGACTTTATTTATTTTTTTGTATAGAAAATAATAAGCCTTGTTACTGATTTAACAGCCGCCCTGTTGTCAGTAAAAGTGTGGGGTTTGATATATAACAGAGACATGTCAGGACGCAGCCTGAGAGCCGTAAAACAACAAGGTAACTGATTCATTGTGTCTCTCTGGTTTGTCTCGACCCACAGACAAGTAAAAACCAGATAAAAGTAGATTTGGTGGATGAGAACTTCACAGAGCTGAGGGGGGAGATAGCAGGTCCTCCAGACACACCGTATGAAGGTATTCTCACTCACCTGCATTATCATGACCAAACAAGTGTGTTGATACAAGACTACAGGATGTGTCATGCTAAAACATGTTGTTTTTTTCCCTTATTTTCAAGGAGGCAGATATCAGCTTGAAATAAAAATCCCAGAAACCTATCCTTTTAACCCACCAAAGGTATGTGCTTCAGTGTACTTCTGTGCCGTACTTGCTGTATGTCCTTTAACCTCCTAATCACTCTTGAGGTCACGTCAGCGTTTTGAAACATCATAATCTGGTTTCTGTTTTGGTTATAACACATAGTGCTGTTTTGAGGAACCTGAATATAGTAGCTGAAGTGCTCTAATGTAAAGTAGGATACTGTCACGTTGTGTCATGTGCATAGGTGTACCCCCGACTCCAGTTATATAGTCGTTTGTCAGTAAATACATGTACAGTGAGAATGAAAGAGACCAAGAGTCCAATGCTGATGAAATCCACAGAGAGACACTGAAATGTTGAGCAATCACAGACACACCTTTACGCAGATGGACAGACAGAAACTTTAGTACGGACTCGTATACAGGGAGCTGAATCTTCGAGTCTCATGTAAACATGACAGCTCAAATGTAGGGGGCAATAGACAAACAAATCCTAGTAATTTCACTTTAATATTTACTATCTATATATCGATATTGCAAAGTTTGTGCCGAGAAATCTGTTGAGAAATTGTGTGTGGAATAAAAATAACCAGAGAGGAATGTCTGTTATTGGCTTACCCGATGAATTAAATACTTGACGACAAATCAAGTGCTTTGGCGCATTGATGCAAAAATCCATAAAGCAGTTCTGCTCATTGACTCCTAACATTGCCCACAGTGTCCTAATACACCCAGAGATGTTAAAGTGAACGCCATAAACAGTGTGACAAAACCTTTGACCGTAGACACGTTTGTATCATCACACAAAGATACAACTCAGAACCAGGATACATGTGTGTGTGTGTGT